AAGTTTTAAGATCTCTTAAAGGTTCAGTAGCATATTATTGATTGGTATGCTACAAATAAGAGTTCAGTAGTCAAATACTGGAGAAAAGAATGAGGGTTACTTATAATCTTTAGTTTGACCTAGTGTTTCATCCTGATAGTGATATTCTGACATGTACTAGGGTACTAGTAGAAGGGTTGGGACAGACCAGACAGAAGGTGTTGGATACTTTTAGGAAAGAGAAATAATGAAGGTAGTGTCTTTTAAAAAAAAAAAAAATAAAAAAAAAAATCTGAGGATCACTGAACGAATTTGGTATCTTAATCTCAAAGAAATTCTGGACAAAAAGATAAAAAATGTAGGTATCACTGGACTTCATAAAAGCGAGACTGGCAACAGTTTAATCTGGGTAGAAATACTGTGGACCTGAGTTTAGAGATATCCCTTTATATGAAAGTGTGAATTTGATAATTATATGTAGGAGGAACATCTAGTACTGCCTCAAAAGCAGAACATTTACTGTATGTGTTGATGCTGACTTAAAGGAAGAAAACACTTAGACTCTCTGGTTCTTGACAGGACATCAGAGTTACAAAGTTTTTCAACTTGCATATGAATGTTACAAATAAAACTCCAGCCCTCATTTTTTAAAGGGCTGTCTAATTATAAAGATTTAAATTGAATCTCCTGAATTCACAAATTGAGAACAGGAATTAAAGCTGATGATATTTCCTGCTAAAAAGGGAAATGCTTTTTGAACTTGCCATTCTTCAACTTCTGATATGCTGTATTGGCTTTCTTGGAAAACTGTACTTGCCCACTGTGATTAGTGGGATCTTTAATTGCCCACAATTAAAGTCCTTGATGGTAGGAGATGCTGATAAAGGTTAGCAGACCAGACAGAAAAACATTCTTCATTTTGCAAGGCTGATGAATACAAATGCGTTAACATGAATTGATTGGTACTGTAGGAAGTAGTAGCATGCCGATAATTAACTTGTATGTCTTCTTCCATTTAAGGTATCTAGTGGATAGTCGCTGGTTCAAACAGTGGAAAAAGTATGTTGGTTTTGACAGCTGGGACAAATACCAGATGGGAGATCAGAATGTGTACCCTGGTCCTATTGATAATTCTGGACTTCTCAAAGGTAACTGCTTCTGATTGTGTAATAAGCCAATACTAATATTTAGTGCAAATTTGTCACGGTTTGTTCATCTTTTGTAGTTGATAGTGTAAATGAATGTCAGCATATATGAAGGTGAAACTTTTTGTTTGTTTGTTTTCAGACTGTGACAAGGGAACTGGAATAGATTTCCCTAACAAATTACAATTTTATAAATAAAATTATTGGAACTTCTTTGCAATGGTAACAGAATATTTAATAACTTATAAATTACTGGTTTATAATCATATTTTGAGATACCTTGGGAGTTGAAATTTAGACAAGTTGACAAATAGCTAGCCTGAGTTCACTAAGATTTTTTTAGCTTAACTAAATTGGTTGATTTAAAACAACATTTTTAAGTTGAACTCTAAAATTTCTTTTTGTAAATGAGCCCCAAGCCCTTACTTCGATTCTGGAACAATTGAAGAGGAGGTATTATGCAGTTCAGTGATGATATACAGTGGTGTGAAATGATAGAGGATAATTTCCTAGTTTTTTTATGGTCTTCTAAGTATGGTTAAACTCTTGTCACCATTAATAATTACTCAGGTCTGACTGACTTTTGCTGAACTGTAGTCAGATTTGTGGACACAGGTCTCAGAATACTTTCCCAGATATTTCAATCTTTAGGTCAAATTCTATATTTAATGTCCAGTATTGAAATACCATTAAAGCCATTAATATTTAATCTGCAAAATCTAGTGGATACAACATCTAGCCGATAATTGGTTTCCTTCTTTGCAGTTACAGGTAATGTAATAGTACCGCATAATTTGTTTGCACATAGTAATACCAATTTTTACAACTTCATGGGGTTTGTGATGAACTCTGACTTTCTTCATTCAAAACTTCTCAACTGTAATTACTATCTTACTATTTTACAAGTTAAATGTTAAAGATGATTGCTTCTTTCATAGGACTTGTCATACCGTGTTGCACTAGTTGTCAGTGTGAGTGAGTGTGCATGTCTCAGTGACTAGTATCAGTGCCTTTGAAGAAGGTGCTGTATTGTTATATGCATCTATATGTTCTTTTCCATTCACAAATATAAAGGTCTTTTTGTTCCAGGTGAGTGATGTGTTGTGTTTTCTGAAATGTGAGGATCTAGATCTTTTGTACATTCTTGTAGAAATCTTGCAGTAAGGCGGGCGTGTTCAGGTGATACTTTTCTTTTCAGGTGAAATCAGATCTTTTTATCCTCAGTGAGGCAGCATCAGCTTATTCTCTCTTCTGTGTCTATCCACTTTATAAAAAAGGTGATTTCTTGATGTGCAAAGCACAGTGTTAGTTGATCTGTATTATTTATAACTTTATCGACATACATGTTCAGATTATTATCCACAGTTTAAAATCAGTCTTTAATCACAGACTGATTCCAGGAAAATGAAGCAGTATGTTGTGAGTATATTACTTAGATGCTGCTCCCTTATTTGCAGAACATTTGCATGAAGTGAGAGCAGTGAAAAGTAACAGGTAGAGATTTCAGTTAATCTCAACATATGCAAAAAATGTTGTTGAATGTAATGGAATGCACACGTGCCATATTCAAAAGAAGAAATATGTAGTCGACTTTAGATTAGCAAAGCAAGCACAAGGAAGTAGTCATTTAAAATAGCTGATTGTTCATCATAGAAAACAGTGTTGCATATGAGGGACTGAGTTGTCAGAGTCAGGGGACTTATTTGATGGAATAAGGTTCTGAAAAAATTACAGTAGAAGAAATGTTGGGGGTTTTAGAAGGATGGAATGGAATCCAAATTATATTTTCTCACAATAAACTGGCGATATCAGATGAGTATGAACCTTTTAAAGAGATACGTGGACCTGAAGATGTTTTTGTGGATTTCGCCGCACACTTTACTCACAGTTGTAATGGAACCACCATATGCATAGTGTTGAGTGGGCCAAGTAAGAACTGATAGTGCAAGTCATGAATTATTTCAGCAAATGTTTCTTCTTTATAGCTCTTGAATATAGATTTTTTCCTAATCAGTCAAAACAGTTTTGAACCAAAATTTGACTCCTGAAAATTGTTACTTTTACAGCTAGGATGAAACAGCCTGAGGGGAAAAAAGGAAAGTACCTTTTAAGCAGGTGCACTGCTTAAAGCCTCATTTATTAGGTCACATTAATTATATTTATCTCCATGAAGAACTGAATTCTTATTTACCTATTTGTTCACCGAGATGTTCAGGTGAAATTCCATTTTACTTTGTGCTCGAGAAATGTATGTACTATGGCTCCCAAAGTGGAATCCAAAGTCTGAGGTTTTCTTCCACTTTCCTTTGTTGCCTTCTGCGTTGCTCTTGGGTTTTTTCTTGCTAAAATTGCAACAAATACTTTAGCTATTTCTGAACTTGATTATCCCCTCTTTCTGAAATAACTTCATAACTCTTAATACTTACCTGGCTGTATTTTGGGGTTTGTTGTTAGGGGTTTTTTGTTTAGCTCTTCCTACTAAGTCATTTATAATATTTTTTTTTTCAGAGAAAATGCATGCAAACCGTATTGTACTTTCTTGACTGCGTGAAATCATCTCTAAACTGCACAGATTGCATATTATAGAAGCAGTATCCTTTTGCCATCTCTGAGCAGCTAGTGGTAGTAACAAATACTGCACACTTAAAATACATGAACTGATGAACAATATGCATCTCCCATGTTTTGCTCACACATCAAGGTACTTAGCTAGAGAAGGAAAGAGGGAGTCAGCACCAGTGATAAGATAATAGGAGCAGAAGAAAGCTGTGCATCCTTCTTTGCTCATATTTTCACCATTTGGATGATTAAAGGAAAAAGCATTGCTCTTTTTCTGTGTTTTCCCTTAAAATCACAAACCCTTTACACCAACTGAAGGTGTAGCAAGTGCAGGTAGAGTAGGGAGATTTCTAGAGTCTTGGTAAGCTGAATCTTGTTTACTTTTCCCACCAGGAAGCGAATACATCTCTTAAATGTCCTCAGTAGTGTTGCCCTCCTACAGAAAAGGTCATGTTGAAACGTGTTCTGTCAAATTCTTATACAGAAAAAAAAAAATTTGAAAAGTTGTTATTATTAAAGGACCTTTAATTTTTAAGTGTACCGTTTTTTAATGCTCAGGATATTTTTTTAATTGAAGTCACATTATGCTGTGTTTGCTCAATCTGTACAAAGAAGAAACAAGAGAAGTACAGAAATATGATGAAATGAGAAGACCTTAGTACTTTTCATATGCGCATAGCGCGTTCTTATTTTTGTCCTTGCAGAAAAATGAAGGTAACAGTATTCATTTTGCTTAGAAGTATTACTTAAAAAAAAAATCCAAGAGGAAGGCAAATACTTGAGGCAATTTGAGATTATTTAAGGTTACTTTTATGCTCAGTTTTAATTGTGCAGTGTAATTCTGCAGTTCATTCACATAGGACAACGAAAATATTTATTATATTTGTTACAGTCTATTTATTCTTTATACATAGTCTGTTTATTTTCATACTGGATTAAGTTTGTCATCCTGATTCATTCTTTGAAGCTGAATGCGTGGGTCTCCCTGCTTGATACCCCTCTATACAGAGGGACGTTTCCTGACCTGTAGTTGGGTACTTCCAAATGGAAAGACAGCTGCCCTAATTGAGGCTCACAGTGGCTCAGATCTGGAATTACCTCTTACACATATAGGATAGCTGCTATCTTACTACTGTAGTAAGGATTGAACCAAAGCTAAAAGCGCTACTTATGTAAAGAGGTTGCCAAGTTGTACTTCTTTCAAGTGCTGCATCTCGCTTTCCCTGTGAAGAATTTTGTAGGGACTGTGTTTCCAGAGCACGTAGGATCCTTTAAGTGGAAGGGTTGTACCATGTTATTTTCCCAGACTGACATGGAGTGAATGACTTGGAACTTTGTCTTGGATCTACTGTAACTACCCATTCCTGCATTTTGAGTGAAGGATGCAACTGTAGCATGAAATGGAAGTATCCATGGTGATGTGGGAGTATGTGTGAACTGGGTGGAGAAATGGATTGGTTTCTCTGAAGGCTGCGATGGTGTGTGATAACACGTTAGGCGCTTATGATTGCATGAGGATATGGAGTTGTCACTTGGGTTCCTGAGTGTAGGAATACTACCTGTAATAGGTGAGCTATGCATGAACTGGATAGCTTGCCTAAATAGTTTCAGAAGAGTTTTGAACTCCGTAATACTGATAACGTAACTGTGACTCAGAAAATACTTTGTTTGCTATTTATATGAAAAATGCTACATTAAAAACTCAAGTAAGAGAATTACAGTATTCAAGTAAAAATATCTTTCTCTTACAGATGGTGATTCTCAGTCACTCAAGGAACATCTCATTGATGAGCTGGACTACATCCTTTTGCCAACTGAAGGCTGGAATAGGCTAGTTAGCTGGTACACACTGATGGAAGGTCAAGAGCCAATAGCACGGAAGGTATTCTTAAATTACCTACTGGGATGAATATGATTCAGATATAGTCCTGCAAATATGCAGGAGTTGCACAGGAATTATTAGAAGATTGTAAGTCCTGGCCTATGATAATCATATAAACAACTCCTGCTTTAGTTGCTTATAAATACCTAATTTTTATTCAGATTTTAGAGGCTTAAGTTTTTAATATTGAGAAACGAGGATGCAAAGGATATAATACTTTTTTTTCCTGGAAGTAAGCCCTCTAATATTTCAAGAAGAACTTGCTTTAGAAGCTTGTATGTCTATTAATGCAAATGATTTTGTAATTAAGTAAAAAACCCTAAAACTGTATTGACTACATCAGTGAAAAGCCTAGCTCTAATAATGTTAACGATGGCATAGTAATTGGTAGTTCCTTTTCTGATAAGCAGAGTCTTCTGTGTTCAGCAGCTTGCTAAGGGAGTTTTTTCTTTAAGCAAAAAGCTTGCCTCTACACAAGTAGTAGCCAATGGTATGGCGGATATTGTGGCCCTCAGTCAGTATGAGATACTTAAAAATTAACATCTTTGATGTTAATTTTTGTTTGCTCCAGCACATACCATCTTTATTGTTAAGGTGATATGACATTATACGAGTTTATTGATCATACAATCTTTTTTGTTTGTATTATTTCTTAAGATTTTCAGGTTAGTGATTACAGTTGAATCATCACTGGACTGAATTACTTAAGTTTTAAAATACATTTTGATACGTTTGCCATTTCTAAATTGACTGTTAGGGCATATTCTTTCGGTTACAGGGACCTATATTTTAATTCCTGAAAAAACGCTGAAAGAATATTAATGATTAGAATTTAGTTTGATATGACTTCTGGTGTAATAGAACTTTTTTTTCCTCCTATGACATGAGTATGGTCTAATTACATGCATGCTGGCCGCTTACTTGAAGTGCATTCCTTTCAAACAAATGCCAGATTTAGCTATAGAAGAAATTTTGTGACTTCAAGATTAATTTGGTCAGCAATAGAAGTGGTTTGTTGGGGTTTTTTTTAACATTCTCTTTAATACCACAAAAGAGATCTTTTTTTGAAGAGACATCCCTGTCTATAAGTCCTATAAGAGCTGAAATCCATTAAAATGGCTCTCCTTTAAAGATATATCTGTTATCAACTTGTTACTGTTTTTCCTGAAGATGGATTTCAGCAAACTGAATGCTCTTCCATTATCATGGTAAAGTAAAAGTTCTGTAATTTTTTCACTTTGGGGGGAAAATGGAAGGAGAGAGAAAGGAAATTAGAGTAACATGCCTTCTACTTGGAAGGAACTAACTGGAAAAATACATGGAGTGTAATGAGTGGCCAGGTAAACTGGCATAGCTTCATTATTTTCTGCCAATATGAACAGTAGTTATCCTTTGAGATGCATACTCTGGTTCAGAATTTTTCTTTCTGATTCTTTTGTCATTTGTTCGTGATTCTTTCTCCTGTCTGCCTTTATGTTTTTTCATAGAGGTGGGATGATGCTTTTCTTTCACCCCCTTTGTTACATCAACTTTTTTGAAATGTGAATCCAAATTTTAAATTGGTACTTGATCCATGTCAGATAACATTACAACTTCATGTAATAGGATGTGGTGATACTACCACTACAGTGACAGTTTTATTCTCAGAAATGTCTTAGCTGTACTGCACAGTTTTGTTTACTGCAACTATTTTGTTGTTACTCTAGTAGCTGAAAACCTTACTAAGCTGCTCAAATTAAGATGCATTTTTATTTAAATATCATGGTTGGCGGTCATTAAATTAAAGCTAAGGCAAATTACTGAACAGCGATAAAATCATTCACTAATGTTTTTTTTTTCCTATGGCCCATGCATACAAGTTATATTTGTACAGCAGATAGCAGATCTCTCCTAGCAATTAGCTGGTGGCTTTTTTTTTTTTTTTTTTTTTTACCGTATTTGTCAGATGTATCACATATCAGGCCGATGGTTATTTTTGGAACAGTCTACATGACTAAGTACTGCAGTTACACTTTGGAAGATCAAAGGGAAAAACATTAAAGAGGTGACCCTGAATATTTTTTTCCTACATTTTACTTTTATTAAAAAAAATCCTGTATACTTAACTATTTTGTAATAGGTGTTACAAAAATGAACATATAATAAACAACTGTAATGAGTAGGTGAAATTTCAAATGAATATATTCATTGTTGGAATATAAGTGGAAGATTTGTAGGTTTTGTTTAAAAATGTGATATCCAGATTTTATTAGTGTGTATTCTGTTTTTGATAAGTATTCTTTAACTGTGGAGACTAGTTCTTCATGTTTTGGGGAAGTAGCATACAATGAATGTATTTTGAAACAAAAACAATTTTCGGTGTTTTTTATCTTTTGATCAAGTATATTATCTTCTGGTTAAGTGTGCACATTTGTGATTTCCACTGTACTTAAGACTTTGAAAGTCATGGTGGTGTTGTTATACACAGGTAAGACATCATCATGGAAAAAAAATACTTTTTAGTTTACCGTATTTCTAAAAAGTTATAGGAGAATTTTAGTTCTATTTTTTGGCATTTATTAAGTGTCCCTGAACTTCAGTTCCTTGAAGAGTTCTCAAAAATATTTTGAAGTGTGTGTATGAAAATGTATTTGGACTGATACCTGATCCCAATCTGTTTTCCAGGTCGTTGAACAGGGTATGTTTGTAAAACACTGCAAAGTAGAAGTATATCTAACAGAATTAAAGCTTTGTGAAAATGGAAATATGAACAATGTTGTCACACGAAGATTTAGTAAAGCTGATACAATAGGTATGAACGACTATTTTTAAAAATATGGTTTTTACTTGTTTAAATAGTACTCAATAGCAAGTTCTGAATAAATAAGTCTCTAGGTGAAATGATAGATGGGTATTGTAACCATTAAAAAGGATGGCACTAGTCTTGTTTGGGTCAAAATTAAAAATGAAACTATTTGGAATATTTAAGATTTTTAATACAATTTTAAAAAAATAAGTGTGTGTTTTATTATCTAGGCATCTCTGTTAACTCTAGAGGTTTGCGCTTTTCTGATGTTTTTCATTATCATTATTGGATTCCATTGCATTTTTTCTTGGCTTTTGGTGTGTAAGAAATATATTTCCCCATGTGTTTCCATTCATGTCTTTCATTAGCCAACACTTTTTAGTCATATATATGAAGAGAAGGGTATGTTACAAAACACAAGAAAGAATTGAATTTATAGATTAATGGCTAAAGGTGACCTACAAAGGCAGTATTCTTTGGGTTGTGAAGTGGCAGGCCAGGCACAATCTTTTACAGTAACTGAGTCCTGTATTAGACCTTTAACTTATCTTTATTTGTAGTTATTTTGCCTGCTCTTTGAGCATTATGTCATTGTTTGAAGCCATATTTTGATAACATATTTGTCTCTGAAAATAACAATCAGAACATGTGCAAAGATACTGCTGATCATATAAGCTCAATTTTTGGTGTATTTGTGCATGTATTTCTGAGATAAGAGTCTTTCAATCAGCTGTATTTGTGCAGTTAGAATTGTACTTTATGCCCTTGGCACTTCATGCCCAGTCATACTCTTTGTTTACATTCTCTGACACCAATGTTGTTTTTTCAGGTTTTGCTTCTCTTTACATTATGGGGAGTGACTTATACTTGCTACCCTTTAATTCTTTGCGGATTGCTTGCTTTAAAAACAGAATCGTTTTACTTTGTTAAATTTTAATCTTTAAGTTAAACAAGTAATCATCTGCTTGTATTGGAATAAAAACTTAAAAATTACAAAATTTATCCTTGAAACAAGGCTTCAGTGTTGTATGTTAATTGGCCTTTTTGAGATCTGGTTTAACTTAGGAAGATGTACTTCATTATTCTCTAAGCAAACCCAGAAACTTAGAAAAAACGATTTAACATTATCCTTCCCTAAGGACCAAATACAAGCTATTTTGCAGCTATACTGAATTTAATTGTATCATTGGAATTATAGATAATGGATGAATTTCTGATATTTTCTTTCTCTAATCAGAAGTAGGGCATTTTGGAATGACTGTTATGTGGAGGTGTATTCATTTTTTCTTAGCAGAGAGAGAATTACAATTATGAGAAAATTGTCATAAAGGGTAATGAGAAACAGGCTCACTGGTGACCTCTTTCCAGAAACTGGCCTTATTTGCTTTCTTGAGATGTGGATGACATGCTCTTGGAAGCCTGAAAAACATGCCCTTTCTGAAGCTGAAGCTTTTTATGCAGAGCACCAAGCAGGGCCATCCTAGCCAAGACATCCAAGAGAATTTGTATCTTAGAAGAAGAGCTAGAAAAATTAAAACCACTTTTAAGAGTGAAAAAATAACTGATCCTTGAGGTTTTTCTCTTATCATCCATTAATAAGATGGTGATTATTTTTTTTTTCCCTGTCCTTACCTGAAGTATATTTAAGGTAGTTCTGGAATTCATCAAATATATAGCAGAGATGCTCATTATATCAATAAATAATATGCAAGAGGAATCTTACAGAATCTTGATTATTTTTCACACTTCCTTATATATGCCAGTAAGGGATGCATTTTCATTATGGTTGCAGAAGACTTGTAGTACAAAAGAGTCAATATCAGCCCCACTGAAATGAGTGGACATAAGGTACTATGGTCTTTTCAAGAAGTTTTAATTTTTCTACCCACCATCATTGATCATATTATTTACTGCCCTCAAAAGATCAGGACAAGACCTTCCTTAATTCACATAAACAGAGAAAGTTTTGGAGCACCTTAAATAGTCTAAGCACAATATGATATTCACCTACCAGTCTTCAAATGTGTGTTATTCCTGGAATACCTTTGCTTTTCCACTCAAATAGAAACTAAGCTAAGCTGTGTGTCAATAAGTTAGTACAAGGTGGGAAAAAATAATTATAAAGGGCAGACCTAATAATGACAGTCATTTTCTTGGGGTGGTACTGGACACATCTAATGTGTTCTTTGGACCTTCTTGTGAATCTCCTACAATCGAGGACTCTCGCCTTGGAGGTAGTGCATGTTAATCTTGAGACTGATTGATGACTCACTCTTCTTGGGGGGGCTGGGGGTGGTTTTTTTAATTTTAAAAAGAAAATGAACTAGACCATAGATGTAGTTCAGGCAGCATTTCAGTCTAGTTACTGTTGCTGATCCTGGAGGGCATCAGGGCTTCTGAGTGAAAATGAGGTAATGATCCATTCAGGAGTCTTAATCATATGAAAGTATGATAAAACTAAGTCATCAGCTAATGTGTAGGCCTTTTCTACCTTTAGTCAAGAGTTTTACAAACCACAAAATGACAGAAAGACTGTCTGTAGCCTCTGTTATGGACAAATAGGAGTCAGGTTGTGTCTGCAATGCCATAAAACAGTGCCAAAGCTGAGCTGATAAACTTCGTAGAAGATTACACCAGTGGCTCTGCATCTAATAGACTTTTGGACTTTTGCTAGTAAATTACCTTGGCAAATGGCTTTGATTCATCTTTCCCTTTCATTTGCTGCAGAATACAAGAATGTAAAACTTGCCACCCTTGAGGACAATTTATTCTGGGATCTGTGACTAGCCTTTCCATTCTTTAGGAAGCTGGGATTACTCTTTCATAGTACAGATTAACATTTTACTGCAGTTTCCTTTAACCAGTATTTATGATAGCACTAGCCTTTAGGAGCCAGGGTGTACTTGTATTAGGATCCACTGTGTTTTTCTAGCATCTCATCAAGACTCTGCCACGTAGTCTTGCAAAATAGTACTTAAATCATGCAGCTGGTTTTTTGGAGGAGCTATCTGATTTTTAATGATATAGGATATATCCTATACGCGATCCATAACCTTTAACTCTCAAATTGAACTATCTCAGATTGTGGCTATATAGCTGATGGAGTGAGAGGTTTAAAGGGCAGTTCTTCCTGTCTCTTTAGACATCGTCCTAGTACTAATCATCTCATAATGGGATGTGTATAACCCTACTAGAGGAGAACCCCATACACAATACGCCTCAGACCATACCTATTTGAATGTAATATTTTCATTTATACTGGAACAGGTGCTTTCACTTTAGATCATAAGCAGCACTTCTGTGATACTTGCTGAGGGGCGGGGGGGAGAATTATAAAGTGTGCATTGGTTACATTCATGGGAGTATATAAAAGAACCTTAATTTCACAGTCTCAATATTAGCATAATAGTCAAGTGGAACATGCTCTTCCCAGAGTCTTGGACATAATGTGTAGTCATCTGATAGGATTGATGCTTCCTGTCTCATAACAGTTCTGTTAGTGAAGCTATAATATGTTAAAAATTAACGTAATAAATGTTAACTTAGTACTTGTGAAGAATATGAGCTGCAATGCTCAAATAATTGTCATGGTGTTAATAAGATAATGAAAAATTATCTTTTGTAAATTCTTCTGTTAGTGAAAGTCATTGATAAATCTGGATTTTTTTTTTTTTTTTTTGGAATATTGTTGCTGACTAGATTAATTCTTAGATTCAAATACAGTTATTTGAAAAAATTGGTTGAGAATTGGTTCAGACAGTACATGATTTTTTTAAAAAAGTCAACAAATCAAGTAACAGCCTGTTGCCTTGTTTATAGCACCTACCTTGCCTACGTATCATCTCTGTTACAGAAACAGATGATCCAGTCTAACACTTGCTTTCATACTAAAATGTGTGTTAACTAGTATAGAAGGAAATTGTATTCAGTTGCGTACAATACCTACCAATATTATATTAGCCAGTTGTCATGCATTTCACAAGCCAATGGCTGGATTTTTACAAGGCACTTTTAAGCTTCAGGTCTCATTTTGACTTCTCATATTTAACATAGTGGAAGAGAAAATAATAATCCGAAGTGAAAAGGAGCAAGGAGGGGAATGCTAGAGGAGCTGATACATTGGTGTTTTATCCTGAGACTCCAGCAGAACGTCTCTCAAAGAGAGACAGTGCCCATTTTTGTAATTGTGTTTTCATGGATCATCAGGAATAAACCACATTTCTTGACGCCTGTTTTGTTTTCTGTGTTAGCTGCGGTGGGGCTTTATGAGTGTATCAATTAAAAAAAACATCTAAGTGAGGTTGCTATGGTATAGCACTGTACATAGTTCAAATTAAAGAACTCTTTAATAAACTCTACTTTTGCATAAGGAGAGTGGAGTTCATTATGAACTTCTTAAATTTCAGTTATAGACAATAGTTGTACTGCTTTAAAATTATGTAACAGTGATTATATTTCTGTCAGGTAGAGTAGGAGCTGGTGGACCTTTCTATGTTAAATTTTTCAGGGATGTAAAATCTTTCATCATCCTTTTAAAATAAATTTATGCACTTCAGTTTTATAGAGCAGTCTTTAATTTCTGTAAGCGTGTAAATTAAACTTCATGCATATATCTTGTGGTTAGTGCTAATTGCACTGGCATATGGGTAGTAGAAGAGTGAAAACCAAAAAGGGTTTGATTTACGGAAAGGAACAGAATGACTTGCACTCCCTGCACCTGGTTTTGCTGCCAGTCTTGCTTCTAATCATTCCCTACCCACCCACACTCCTGTGTTACCACACTCTGAGAAATTAGTAGATGGGTACCTAGGTACCTCCTGTCATTTGTTATGTATCAACTTGTCTTTATTTGGTCTGCTTTGCTAAGAGATTGAGGAGGGAATAAAATAGCCCTCTGACTGTTTCCGTTTTAAAGGCAAGCGGACTAGCAACTTCCTGCTTGTGCTACAACATGATGTAGTTGCATGGCTGTTTCTACACTTTCATTCATATTTTGAATATAAGAAAAGAGTAGGTGATTCTGATGCTTTATTTGGCCTTACACTGTTTGTGTAGTGAAATGCTAAACTTGTGTTCTCTATCTTTCAAAACAGATACAATTGAAAAAGAGATAAGAAAAATCTTCAATATTCCAGGTGAAAAAGAGACCAGATTGTGGAACAAATACATGAGTAATACTTTTGAACCTTTAAATAAACCAGACAGTACCATACAGGATGCTGGTTTATACCAGGGACAGGTACAGTGTAATAATATTTCTTTTTTTAATACATTTATTTTTTTGTTTGTGAAATGTAGCTGTACCCAATGAATTTTCCTTCTGTTTAAATGAAAATTGCCTCCTAATAGATTGTGTTAGGGATAGAGGATTTTATAAACAAATTCATCAAAATAAAAGTAGTCTTTGAGTGTATTTTCAGGATTAAAGATGAGTTTAACTCTCCTGGTCAATTAAAAGTAAATGAATGTAACATTGCTGACTTGAATTTGGTAGAACCTGAAATAAAAAAATATTCCTAGGATCTGGGATATATTGCTATAATGAAATCCAAAATTTGAAGAACTTTTTAGGTACTCTGAAAGAATAATGTCTTCTACTAAAATTCCACTGTCCAGATTTCAGAAAGAAATTAAGAAAAAATGAAAAGATTTCAGATAAGAACTATAGAGACAAAAGAGCTTGAAAACCTGTTTTAACGTGAGACTATATCGTCACTTCAAAATCCCTTTATAGGATCTTTCTTACAAGATCATTTTTTACCTTTCCAGATGTATATGAAGAACAAATATTGGAGGTTAAAGCTACACAAACATAAATGTGAACTGATTGAACAATTTCATCGTTAGAATAACTTTTCAGATTATTACTTTGATTCTTTAGTATTCAAATAGAGTTAGATATTTTTTCAACAGCTGTAGTTCATGCTGTCATGCTACAAATATGAATGGATGAAATTTGATGACAGTAATCGTAGGCGAGATTATATTATATTAAAGTTTTTCCCTTTGCCTGGAAATACTTGACTTTAACCTACTTACCAGCAGTGTTTATGCTGTGCTTCAGTTTTCTTTTATGGCATGGAAGGTGAGTAATCAGTGCACCAAAATAACAGCTTGAACTATTGTGCCCTTTAGCTTCATGCTGCACGCACTTAAACCCTCACACAGGTAATTTTAACAATGCAGAGGTCCTGCTGGAAGAGCCCACATCTCCCATAAAAGATTTGCGTCAAGATGTAACTTGCAAATTGCATCTATCCCAGTGAAACATTAACTATGAAGCAAGCATGGTCTAATAGCCATGAAAAGATCTCTAGGTGACATCTGTACTTTCAGCAAAACAAATATTGTTCAAAACAGAGTTTAACCACGGTTTCTGAAAATGCTAAATGTTGTGGTAGACCATGTGTGTTTGGTCAGTTGCACTTGCTGACACACATGTTCTTATTTTTCTTGCTGAGCCTCCTAATCTAATAATAGTTATTCTGACTATTGCAGTCTATCTAACCTAAGAGTTATTTTTCACTGTGCAATTCTAAACTGTGTATGTGATTGAGTAAATTAATGTTTTGAATTCAGTTGGTTTCTGAAGTGAACCTTTAGGGGTTCCATTGAACTTTTAAGTCTAAATCTTCCTTTTATTTAGTAGTTTCTGAGAGCCAATGGAAGGAGATATGGCAGAAGCTGTCTTGCAGCATTCATGACCAAAGATAGCAGACTACTCTTTTTCCAGGTAGAAAGCTGGTCATGGTAGAAAGCTAGTTTTCAATGTCACGTCTTAGTGTATCCAGACTGAAAATGTGATTACATCTTCAAGTAGCAGCATGACTTACGTATAAGGTTTTGAGCATAAGTACGTATGTGAATATATGGCATTGTGTAGACACATACAGGTATAGCATGGTAGTTAATTAGCGTCCTGAAACATCAGTGTACAGTTATGCAGAATTAGTTGCATGGGAAATTAGGCTAGATTCAGTTTACGTATTGGAGTCTAGTTGCCATTTCAAACAATCTGGCTATCCCAGCTGTCAATCCAGAAAGGCATGAGCTTTTTGTAAGTCCTGTCATATCTGCCAGCGTAGGGCAGATATCTCAAATACCCAAAGGCGTTTCAAATGGCACTTGATGCCTGTGTTTAGGACTGAGCGTTCTGTACTCCCTTTTGTACCAATAACAACTCGAATGAAATTAATTTCATTAGCCAACACTCCCGCTGGAAAATTAATATTAGATGAATGCTTTTGCAAAAAATACATGAGTAACCAGACGGGTATGATTTGAAGGCTATCAAGGCAGAAAATAGTTTGGTTTGGGGTTTTTTTTCTATGGATCTGTGTTGTGTGTGAGGCAAAATTCCTTCAGGAATATCCCTTCCTTAACAGGGCTGTTGTACAGACATGTGATTTCTGTAGATTCATAGGTGCTGTTTAGACATCGCAGGTCATCTTCTGACCTCTTTGAGAGGTAAGGTCTTGCCATTTTATCCATGGATTGTTGAGGCATAGAAATATTAAGTGGCTTGCCCACAGTTGCACAAATTAAGATGTGGGGAGAAAAAAGTGAATAGAGCAAGAGGAAGGTGCAGTGTAATTGAATAGAATATTCTTGAACCTCAGGGAATAGTAACTCAAACATCAGTCTTTTCCATCTCAATCACATGTCAGCAAATCCATTAAAAAGATTGGAAGAGAAAGCAATCTACTGATATTTTTATTTCAGTTTTCTTATTATACTTTTTGCGGTAGGTACTGGTGATAGAACAGAAGAATGAGGATGGAACATGGCCAAGAGGTCCTTCAACTCCTAAGTAAGTTTTGAATTTAAGTCGTTATTCACTGTAGCTTAACTATTTTCCCATGTTATTTTGCTTTAAAAAAACCCTATTTTTAGAAGTGGCATTTTATTTTGAAAATCGGCCTTCAGATGTTTGAGCTGAAAATATGCCCAATAATGGTGAATTGCTGCATATATGTTGCTTAATTTTGTTGATTTCAGCCAGTGATATATGTTACCCTGCTTAAAAATAGAAAAAAAAATCCATAGTAGAAAACTGTAAAACTTAGCTTATTTTATTTCAATTTCAAAGCATAGTGTATCTGTTAGGTGAACATAGATATATGTATTTTATCAGTATTTTTCTTATATGTAAATGTTTGCATAGATAGCTTGTCCTTTTATCTCCAGAGCACAATATTTACACATAAACGTTATTTAAATTGCAGTCTACATTACCAGCATGTTGCTTTTGTTCTTTGTTGGGCTGTCATCAATTAACAGAGTACAATGTTCTTTTTCTTTCCTGTTCTTCTGCTGCCATTATCAACAGAAAGACTTGAGAGTGTTTTTTCTCATTTAGATGGATAAACTTTTTTTAATAGTTTCCAGAATCTTAATCACCTTCTGTTGGTTTTGAACAACAGTTGGAACTAGTTACTAGTAAACTAACATGATCTCAGCCTTACAAATAGTTAACTGTGGTTTCTTCCCTTTGTTGGCTGGTTCTTGAGCATATCTTTCATTAAAAAGTTCTTTTTATTGCTTTTGATATTTTGCATTCATGTAATTGAGGTTCACTGTTGTTTTAAAACATATTTGTAGTATCATTGCTTATCATTTGAAGGACAGAGTTTCTTTATCTTTGATATTTTATCTCAAGCACTTTTATTAGGAGCACTAGCTTCTATTAAGTTGGTTAATGAAGTCTGACTTCAATTTAAGCTTAGTATGAGCAGTATAATCTTGCTTAGCAAGATGTTGTGACACAAAGAATTGAAAATGCAGAGCAGTAGAGAGAATGGGATGCAAAATACTTGAAGTTTAATCTCTGACCTCAAAAAGCATCTAGTAGAAATGTAAATTCCAAGTCAAATTTTAGATGTAGATTTTGAAGGTTAAAAGAATTTAGATAACTCAGTGTCACTGATTCTTTTGGAAGTTTTGGTAGGAAGATACTCTTGGTGATGGTTCCTGCTTTTATTCTGCCAAATTTGCATTCTACTTTATCGGAGGCATTCAGGAGCAGTATATCAATTAAAGAATATCTCCAGAAAATGTTTGATCTGGGGACAAGTACAATGGTAATTGAGAATACTGGTGTCAGAGGAGGCTGTAAGTAAACCAGCAAATGAGGATGAATAGTTTTACTGTGAAGCTGGGGTATGTTTTTGAGGTTTGGCAGCTATCAGAAAGATTGATTGAAATTTGGTATTCAAATGCATTCTAATAGCGGAAGGTTTGCAAAATTAGTGGATTCAAATAGAAACTATTAACAAGCAGTAATGGGGACAGGTTTTTACATCTGTTTAAAACTTTATGAAAAATCTAATAAATGTTTAAAGGGGTAGAAATATTAAACACTTGCTTTTGAGTCTTCTGTGTGAGATGCATTAGGCGTATTAGTTTGTCATCACAAATAGTATACCTTCCTACAGCTCATTGGCCACACACTGGTTTTTTTACTACTTCTTTGTAGTGCTTGTTTTAAAAGAATACAACTTGTAAACATGAATACTGAGGCCGGGGAATAAAATGCCATATTTAGAAAAGTCAAAATATAGAATACTGGAAAGTATGAAAGATATATAATGCTTGAACAGGGCAGAATCATTTCAGAACATCAGCTAAGCTTTTCATGGAATCACAGAGTAGTTGAGGTTGGAAGGC